ACCGAGTTGCACCCTAAACACGAGATCTGGGTATGTCCTTAGGGGTTAGGGTACCCCAAACCCTCAACCCTCAACCCTAAACCCTAAACCCTAAACCCTAAACCCCAAGCCCCAAGCCCCAAACCCAAAGAGAAGGAGACTGGCAGGAAATACTCTTCCTTTGCAGCCGCCCTTACCGAGACAGGGTATCACGAAGCCCATCTCTCAGGTGGAGACCTGGCCAAAGTCATGCGCGCCTGCTGCATGATCTCGAACTCCACCGCCATCGCGGCCTCGCGTCGGAAGTCGTCAGATTAAATCTCGTGAGCCCCAGAATCTGAAGCTGGAAACCCTGAACGATTCACGAGGATGCCCCAGAGAGTTCTCTCAGGTCCTATGCAGACTCGAAGGCCCACCGTACCAAAGCTTTGCATGCTTCTCCAAGGAAGTCTTCTCGCGCATCGACCACAAGTTCGACCTCATGTACTCGCCACTCGGCGGCCATATCGCTCGAGGGATCGCTCCAGCAATAAGCGGCAAACAAATTTGGGATCACAGGGCAGTACCCCTACCTTGTCGGTGTTTCTCGGGTTTGCCGTCAAGCAGCACACTGGCAGAGATACTTTGAAAAAGTGTGGGTTCGAGTGCATCGTGCTGTAGCTACTGTATTAGCTGTTCAAGCCCTGTAGTCAAGGTATTCCTGCGTCGATCTCACCTAACTTCGGCACCCCTGCACCTGGTCCTTGAAGTCGGGGGGCTTTTGGGCTGGCGGGGAATGCCTGGGCCTTTCAGGAAGCGCGCCTTCGTGCACCACTACGTGGGCGAAGGACCTGGTGTTGATTTACTGATTTAGGATTAAGGGTTTTCAAACCCCTGCAGTCCAAAACCCAAACTCGCAAGCCACCGAGAAACCTTAAACCCTAAACCCTAAACCTTAACTTAAGCCCTAATCCCCCAAGCTCCAAAGCCTTGAGAAAGCCAGGCCCTAAACCCAAAGCGCAGAAAAACCCTAAACCCTGTATCTCAAGCCCGTAAATGAAGATAAGTCGCAGGAATGGAGGAGGGCGAATTCTCTGAGGCGCGCGAAGATCTGGCTGCCCTGGAGAAGGACTACGAGGAGGCTCACTGTCACCCCCACCATCACTTTCACGCCTCACGCTCGCCTTCACCTTCATTCCTCACATTTTTGGCCCTATATTTGCCTTCAAGGAGGCCCCGTATGGGGTTTTGGATGCGTGTAGAATGGTGTAGATTACAGTAGTTATTATGGGCCCTTACACGCAGGATTTGGGGATTGCCGGGGTTCAGGGTCTTGGGTTTGAGACTACGGCTTCTGGGCTGAGGGGCTAAGGGTTGTCGACACCATGGTGGAAGGGCCGATGCCAAGCTTCCAATGAGTACCAGACATCCCCTTGCAGAGCACTTTTGAGGTTTCTTGGGTTTTGAAGTTGAACATTCAGGTGTGGAGCAGGGTTTTCTCTTTTCCGTGGGCGGGTGTCAGGCCCTTAGACTCCTTGAGAGACCCTGGGCCCGACTCCTTGAGACACTCTGACATGATACCTCGTGCCGGAAACTGGCATCTAAAGCCCCAGATGTAGGCCTTCCGGCAAGAGCTGTTGGTGTGCAGGTGGGCATCGAAACGGCGGCTTGGTCGAATGGGGAAGCAGCGTTTCCTGTTTCGGCTGGGGCAGAATTTTCGAACACCCTGAACCCCAAAGCCCAACGACCTCCGCCCCCTGATGAGCATCGAAAGTGGAGATCCGGTCAGACTGAGGCTGAAGGGGAGGGTGAGGAAGAAGGTTACGGAGATGAGTTCTGAGGCAGCCGCCATGAAGCACTCAAAGAGCACCCTGTCAGAGTGTCATTAGGCACTCGGCAGTGTGATCACTAGGGTCTCCCCTTGTGTTTGTGGCGCTTTTCTGTGAATTCCGACCTGCTGGAGTGCACGGCAAGAGAAATCGCATCTTGCTGGCACGTACAGCCGACCTGCATGCCGAGAGAAAATGCTTCTTTCTCCAGCAGCCGCATAAGTGAAACGACTCTTGCCTGCAGCGAACATTCGTAGCGCCTATCGTCGGGCCCAAACCCCTAAACACCTAGAGATCTACAGTCCCAAGCTTGGCTACCATCGGAGTGGAGCGGAGTTGCAGGTCTGCATAGATTCGTGTTTTGCATGGTTTTAAATAAGAGCCCACAGTCCAGAGGATCTTATAGACTTACTTCTTATAGGTTTTAGAAGGGTCTTCAGATTTCCTAAGCGATTCCTTACCGGGATTTCTGATTGAGGCCCCAATTCCTCGGCGAAGGGCTCGAAGCCCTCCGGAGACAAAGCAGGCGGGCTTGGGAGTTTAGGATTTTGGGGTCTCTGTTCGGGAGCTCAGGAGCTGTAGCGATGCTCAACGGAAGTTCAGCAGGAGGTATTCTGATCGGGGCGTAGCACCAGCTTCACAGTGAACTCTCATTAGCACGTGGCAGTATCAGAATATAGAGGGCCCAAGCAGCCCTTGAGAAGCATTCTCTGCAGATATTTGAAGCTTCTTCATTCGGACACAAGGACCTCCAGGCATTTCTTGCCCTAGCCATCTTGAGCGTGCATGTATGCGTGAAGCATGAAAGTGTGAAAGACCTGAACTCCTACTAACCTAAGGCCTGAACTCGGAGCGTAGTGTTCAGGGTTTTCGGTTTGAGGGCCCCCCCCCCATAGACCCCCTAAACCCTCAACCCTGTCCACGCCTCTTTGCGAGGCTGCACTTCCGGGGTTCGGGTGGCCAGCATAGTGCACCTGTCCTAAAGTGTCGAATTTCGGTGACGGCGACCGCTTGTTCACATCCTAGACCTAGACCCTGAAGTCCTTAAAGCATGAATCCTAAACCCAGAAGCCTGAAAGCCTAAACCGACTCAAGTTGCTTAAGCCTCTTTCCTGGCCAGTTCCGACGGAGCTTTTCGTCGAGGACTCCACGAGCATGCTCAGCTTTTTTGGGCCCGTCTGCGGTTGCAACACCATTGAATCATATCGGGTATCTGTTTGATGTGTAGCGACTTGAAGACTTGAAAAGTCATGGGCCTAGTAGAGAGGTTTGGGATCTAGAGTTTAGAAGAGCTTAGCCCTACACTCTTGCTCTAGCTGATAAAATCTGCGTTTGTCCGAAAGGCTGGGTGCCTGTCCGGCACGGCGCAAAGTATTTAGGCCTCTACAGTAGATCGGTTCTTGCTTCAGACGGAGTTTAGCCTTGGGTTTACAGTAGCACGATATCGCTGATAAGATCCCTCAAGCAAGAGCTGTCGCACTCAGTTTTGCACCGCCCTGGCGGACCTATCAGGCCAAGTGCCTTCAAGAGCCTAACGTATGCCTGCCTGCCACAACACCGCGCAAAGCCCGAGCTTGAAACTGAAAACGCCCAGCCTCGGAGACAAGAGCATCAACCCTTCAGTACAACCCAAACTCCCGTGATACCTCAGCCCTCGCGAGGGATCCAAAAAACCGCGTTCGCAAACTCCCAATCCCCTACTGTACGATGGCCCTGCCCTGCAACCCTACAGCCCCAACCATAAAACACAAACCCAAGAAAACCCCTAAGAGCTAGGTAGTGGGTGTCCCTTGGCGGAGAGGTCTTCATGGAGTTCACCAACGGCAGCGAGCCGCCCCAAGGGCAGGTGCTCCAGGCCTTCCTCCACGACTTTTGTAAAGGGTAGTTTTCTAAATTAGGGTCCCTTTTTGGGTCCCCCATATAGTACGGCACCCTTATAAAAAGGACCCCAAAAGGGACCCTAATTTAGAAAACTACCCATATGCATGTACGCACACATACAGGTCCAAAAAGATAGACAGACGGATAAGACAGACAGGCAGATAGAAGCATAGACAGATAGGTAGATACGTAGATAGATACGTAGATAGATAGGGAGATAGATAGGTAGATAGATAGATAGGTAGATAGGTAGATAGGTAGATAGGTAGATAGGTCGGTAGATAGATCGATGGATAGTTAGATAGATAAACAGATAGGCCGATAGAGAGATGGTTGATGTGTCAACGTCACTCACTCCCTCGCTCGCTCGTTGGCTCGCTCACTCATGCATGTATTTACGCACGCACGCACACATTGAGACACACATACATGCATGCATGCGTGAGCACGTGCATACGTACATATATCGGTCTATCCATCCACCATCGGTCCATCCATCCATCCATCCACCCACCCACCCACCCATCCATCCATCCATACATGCAGGCAGGCAGGTAGGGAGGCAGGCAGGCAGGCAGGTAGGCAGGTAGGCAGGCAGACACCCACACACCCACACACACACACACACGCACACACGCACGCGCGCACGCACGCACGCGCACGCACACGCAGACACACACACACACACACACAAACACACACACACACACACACACACACGCACAAACACAAACACAAACACAGCCACAAACACAAACAGAAACAGAAACATAAACGCAAACACAAGCACAAACACAAACACTAACAAACACACAAGCACAAACCAGCACACAAACACAAACAAACACACAAGCACAAACCAGCACACAAACACAAACAAACACACAAACACAAACAGAAACAGAAACAGAAACAGAACCACAGCCACAAACACAAACACAAACAAATAACAGACACAAACACAAACACCAACACAAGCACACACACAAACACACATACACATACACACACACACACACACACTCTCAAACGCAAACGCAAACACAAACACAAACACAAACACAACTACAAACAAACACAAACACAAACCACAAGCACAAGCACAACCACAACCACAAACACGAACACAACCACAAGCACAAGCACAAGCACAAGCACAAGCACAACCACAAGCACAAACACAACCACAGACACAAGCACACGCGCGCACACACACACACACACACATGGCCCACGCACATGCACGCACATGCACGCACACGCAGCGCACGCACACGCACACGCACAATCACGCACAGGCACACACACAGGCACACACACAGGCACACGCACACAAGCACAAGCACACACACTCTCCCACGCACACACACACTTGAACACCCAGACT